GGGTGGCTGATCCTGATCGAGCCCGAGGGGTGCAGGCAGCTCGCGCTCGCCCTGGCCGCCTAACCTGTTCCTTCTTGGCTCGGGTGCTCGCCACCCCCACAGGCCTTGGACACACACTACGCGTCGCTAGGTCCTTTCGGCCGAAATATCGCGAGATTTCTTGCGGCAAATTGGAGTACTGCGGCAAAGGACTCACTTTTTTACCACAGTACAGTATAGCGATCAGCAAGTGGATATGAAAATACCTCTTCTAGTCAGATGCTGGCCAATCCCGAGCTCCAGTCCGCCTAGGGCTCCGCCCACTACTGAGTACAGAAGGATCTCTTTGAGGTTTGCGAGGGACTGTCCGTTTGCGTGTTGAAGGTAAGGAGCCTAGTAGAAACATATAATAAGCCTAGAATGAGGTGAGAGTTTTCAAGTTATACTTCAGGTTAGGGCTTAATCTGACTGCTGGGCCAGAAAGTTTAAAAGGGAGAAGTGCGTTAGAGATGGAGTTGCATGTCGTCGGTCCTGGTAAAAGACTACAAGTCCCAACAAGCACCGCTCTCGTAGGCTCCCAAGTACTCCCGCGAGTACTACCAAGTAAATGTGACGCTGGAAGCGTTTGTGTCCCGGCGTAATAGGTACTGCAGCCGTACGTGCGTTCGCAACTCGCCAAACAGGATAGTTTTGAAAGATTTGAATACTTGACAAGTGCTAAAATGAAATGTTTTCACTTAAGTTTACCTTAACAGACGTTTTAAAGTAATGTTGTAATAATACTGCACCAGCCCTGTATTGAGCGTTTGTTTTGGAAAAAACCTAAGAATTCCAAAATGATTCTTGTCACAGTTAACAACTGAGATTCCAACTCACCTTGCATTTTGACACAATTTTGTATTGTGATTGATAAACATTTGTTTATATGTCTCCCCGCATATACTGTAAGTATCAGTATCGTAGGGACACACTATGTCCTGTTCGTCTCTGTATCCCAAATGTCTAGCACAGTGCCAGTTCCAATTTATAAATTTCAGTTCAGTAAACGTTAAATGAATGTAAATAGGAAAACTCCACCTAAAAGCAGTAGTTTTTAAAGATTATTGAAGTTATTTTTATACTTCTGTTGTGGTTAAAANTTGAGCTCTGAGCAACAGCAGTTCGATTCCCAGCCCGAGCTGAGCAGCCGCTGAGCTGCCAACAGGTGGCAGGATGGCTCAGCTTAAAAAAAAAAAAAAGTAGATTACATAAACCTACAAAATCTCACCAGCGTACATGCTTTTAACCACTAGGCTATCCTGCCCATATTAGGTTCCCTGACTACAATAACTGGCTCAGATATAAACCCTGGTTGGTCAATCAGAATTCATCTCTGGGATTTTTCTGTTGCAGTTAGTAGGGAACTTTTGCATTTTTGAAAGAAAGGACCATCATCCCTGAATATAGATGATGCCTGAATGTTTTAGAAAAGAACAAATAAAGTAGAGCTAAGTTGTATTTTTGATAGGGAGTAAGAGGATGACATGACAAGCTCACTTGAACCTTTGGTCCAGTTCTGTGTAATTCCCATCCTACCCAACTATGTGAGTCCAAATTTTTCCCACCTGCTTGTCTTTTTTTTTTTTTTTGCTTTTTGCTTAAGTTGGTTTTTAAAATTCTGTTACTGTCACTTTGAATCTCAAGATCAATTCATGGTAACTTACACTCCAACCAGCATGAAAGTTGCAATTTTCCTGACTCTTTGGAAAATGTAAGCATGTTAATTAGCAGAGAGAAGAGCATCAGATATGGGAGAAAAGCAAGAAGAATACCATTCCTGAAAAAATACTTTATACATAACTTAATATAACTCAATTGCTGCCAGTAGGATTTTTAAAAATCAAAGTATAGACACTAGGTAGAAAATTAATTCCACAGAAAAACATCTAATTGGGCTCTGAACAAATAGAAGAAAGCAGAATGGGGGATGGATGAATTAGTTTGATTTCACCTGCTGATTTTTCATTTTCTGTACAGCAGAGGAAAGAACAAGAGAACCTTATAAAGAAGGAAATTCAGTAAGCAGATTTCTAAAAACACTTATTTCTATAGCTAAAATTGCTAAAAAAATCAAATGGCCACAATCCCTTTCCCTGTTGTCTGGGAGAAAACTGCCATAGTCTTGGTGCAGAGGCTTGGATTAGATGGTTCTTGGATCAAAAACATCTGTAGAGAAAGAGAGAGAGAGCTCCAGGTTGTAAATAGTGCTTTAATTAAAATACACGTATCTGAACTAATAATGAATTTTCAATAAATAGGGTCTTTTGCTTTCTGAATCTTCAAATCTAGACGTAGTTTTTTTTAAAAAAACTTTTTTGCTGTACATGAAAGTCACTTTCATTTTATATATTTCCAATAAAAACTCATTATTTGTTTTTCAAAAATGAAATTTAAAAAATAAGATTATATTTTTGCATGTTTCTAACTTTCTATTATAGATATTGAAGTTTATTAGTGTCTAGCATGGTATATTTGTTTGCTTAATATTCTACCTAGAAAGTTTTTATCCTGGAAAAGAAGGGGGATAAGATTTTGAATGTTTCCCATGGAAACGTAAGAATGGAGTCAGGCTGCTGATTAGCAGGGTTGGATGACTAAGGACGTGGCATTTCACTAATGTAATAAAAATAGGGAGAAAATAGTAGGACAAGTCATTTGGGGTAGATAAGCTAAGGCTGATTTTAGCGTTTGAATTTGAAGTAATCATAGGACATTCATGGTAGAAGATAGTTGGAAAGATGGGACTGGAGTTCAGGAATGATTACAGAGCAATAGAAAACTAAGAGATATCCATTAAGTGTCAAGGGTTTACCCTCAGGAAGGGAGGTGGCTTTCAAGGGAGAGAGAGAAAAAAGCAAGGAGTGGAGAACCAAGAACTAAAGCTTATGACCACCCAAAAGTATAATAGTAGTCAGGGGTCAACTCCTCCAATGTAGTCAGGTGGATGGGAGGAGCATTGAAGAATATAAGGAGGAGCTTTAAAAAGTGTTTTCATTGGAAAAACAAACAAACAAAAAAACAAAAAAGCAAAACAAAAATAAAAAAAGCTATGCTGCTCAGAGTGTAAACAGAATTAAGTCTTTGGATTTAGGATTTAGGAGGTTGTTGGTGACTTTCAGGAATGCATGAAAAGGACATAAGGCACTTTTGCTGGCAGCAAATCTGTAAATTGTCTTTGCTTTACTACTTATTCATTCATTGTCCTTTTCTCAAACTGGGTCCTGAAAGAGGAAAACTATGAAGAAAATTACAGGGTCCTGAAGACTTGGCCCAGCACAAGGGACTCAATCCTCTCGCCAAGCCTTGGATCTGACTTAGACACTGAGAGCTTTTGAGTAGGTGAAGACAGAATGTCTTTCTTTTTCTTTCCTTCCTGTTTTATTTTTTCTTTCCTTTTTTTACCTTCCATACTTTTTTTAAAAACAAATTTTTTGTTTATTTGTTAGGGATTAAGAAGCTTTTAAATTTCCCCGATATCTAAAAGACTTTGACAGGGAGAGGCGCTGACTTGAGAATACCTAGACTACAATAGATAAAAGTGAAATGGTTTCCTAGGCTTCAGTCAGAGAATAAATTCTCCCTAGCACTGGCTCTGGACTACCTTCCTGAAGAGTCTCATTAGTTTGCTTCTCCGACCTTGATTGCTACCTTTAAAAGAGGCTTTAAAGCCTGTTCAGTCTCCTAAACTTGCCAAATCTTGTTTCCTCAGCCTCGTCAGCAGTCTTGCCCTGCCCAGACCTCTTGCTGTCTGACCGCACTGCTTAGCTAACCCCATTTATGTCATACCCTGTTGCTTATTCCTTCCTCCTTTGGAAAGGCCCATCAAAGAGCTAGCTCCTTACAAAGATGGAAAGACATGAAAGATTTTTGATGGAGTGAAGACCAAGGATTTAAGGAATCAAGGGTGGAGGGTTTGGACTTGGAAGTATTAAGTGTAGAATTAGAGACCTTTGGCTAAAGAGGGTGGAGTAAGAAAGGTTAAACTCCATAGTATGTATCCTTTTTGCAAAGAAGGTTGCAGATTCTCTTCAAAGGGGAGTGTGAATTATATAATTATTTAGTATGTCTCAATAAAGCTGTTTTTGAAAAGGAGTGCAGGTAAGAGATGGGGTAGGATTAAAGAAGTATTGAGTTTAAGTGACATTTATATTAGCTTGCCAGTTCCTAGTTATAGGTCCCCTTAATGATGTTTCCATGAGTAGAATGATACAATTGTCTGTATGTTCCTTTCCTCTTTTTCCATTGAAATAGTGGATAGCTCCAAAGGTTTCCACAGAACCTGTTCAATTTTTTAGCAGTTGTTCCAGGAAAGGAACAAATGGACCATAGCCATATGTTCCCTAAACAATGAATGCAGACATGATGTACTAAATATTCTAATGCATAAATAATATTTATATAGGATGTTTTATGCTTTATATATAGATTTGCAACTGACAGTGGCTTAAATAATAAAGATATATAATTGTGTCATAAAACAAAGAAGTTCCAGGATGGTACAGCAACAAAATGTGGGCTTTCTCCTGATGGGCACACATTGGCAGCTTCAAATTTTTCCTCACCACAAAATATACAAGAAAGCAGGAAGGACGGGGAAGGAAAAGGCATTCTCCTCACTTTTTTTTTTTTTTTTTTAACTAGGGAGGAAAATCTTTCTTGGACGCTACCAAGCAAACTCCCTATTGTATCTCAATGGCCCAAAATGGGTCACATTGCAAACCCCTAGCTTCACGGGAGGCTCAGGAAATTAATAACTGGCTTTGTAGTATTAGAGAAACAAGTGCAGGAAAAGTGTACTGAAAATGACTTTTGGGTGGGCAACCAACCTGTCTGCTATATAATTCACTGGAAAAAAGGATAATACCAAAAGATAACAACCAAAAATATTTGTTTGAGGAACTTTTTTTTTTTTTAAGATTTTATTGGGGAATTGGGGGAGGGGACCAGCCAAGTTGTTGTTCTTCAATCTTTTTTGTGGAGGGTGCAAGTTGCCATCTGGCTGCCCAGCAGCAGCTCGTGGCCTCTAAGCTCAAGGTGTGTGTTCAGTCTTAGTTGCGGGTGGGCGTAGCCACCATCCCATGTGGGAGTAGAACCAGCAGCCTTGTTGTTAAGAGCGCATGCTCTGCTCACTGAGCCACCTGGGTGGCAGCTCAGCTCAAGGTGCTGAGTTCAGTCTTTTAGTTGCGGACAGGTGTAGCCCACCATCTCGAACAAGCAACCTTGTTGTTAGGAGCACGTGCTTTCACCAGCTGAGCCATCCTGCCACCTGTTGGCAGGTCAGCAACAGCTCAGCTTGGGTGCAGCATCACTGGCCCATGTGGGAATCAAACCGGCGGCCTTGTTGC